ACTTTTCTACGGTGTTCCAGAGATGTGAGTGAGTTTGTGAGCGAGGCATCACCCACTAGACGAATTGCCCTTTTTTTGGACAGAATCCAACAGTTTCATGGTATGTTTGGGTGCTGCACTCCAAATATGGGAACATTATTCCAGGACAGGTCGGATCTGTGTCCTATAGATCATACGCAGCTGACTGGAAGTGAAATAGCTCCTGGCACGAAACAGAAAACCAAGTTTTTGGGATGCACTTTTAGCAATTGATCTCACGTGATTTTCCCAAGAAAGGTTATTGCTGATAGTAATACCAAGCATCGAAATGGATGTCTTCAAAGGTAGTACCAAGAATCTCGCCAGGTTGAATAAAGGCAATTTATTATTATTATTATCATCATTATAAACACAGATCCTGCACTCTGCAATTTATCTCAATAATTTCATATAGGAAATGTCGGTAATTTCGCTAGTTAGTGTAACTTATTATACATGTTATAATAGCTGTGATGCAATCAATGCAAGTGATTTGCTCCGTTTCAATATTTTAAGTGAGGCGAAATTGACTACAAAAGTGAAAATAAGTGCTCAATAATCACTCATATTTTTTCGCAGATGCAATATTTCAGTTTTTTTATCATTTTTCGTAATGATGCTTTTGACATCTGTCAGAATTCACAATATACAGGGTGGTCGGGTGTGTATTACAAAAAACTCAACAGTGTGTTGTACTCGTTGAAATTATAGGAAAAGTTTTTATAAACATATACTTCTGAACGCGTCGTTTACGAGATATAGGGTGTTGCAAAATACGAATTCCTTCTGCAATAGGAGTTAATAAAAATACTCGTAAAATTTCAAAAAGAATGCAAGAAGATTGCATTTGTGCAATCAAACGGGAGGACTGGTCTGACATGCTGACGAAATATAATCGTTTATGTTGTAGACAATTTCAATCTACTAGCAGTATTAGCTTCTACTGCAGAAGTGGTAGAAGGAATTTCAATAAGAAATTTCATAATGAAAACTATTTGAAATTACTATTTACCAAAAAAATCATATCCCTTTGTCTCGCTGCATTTTTTGTGTATTGAACAACAGCACAATGCGAGGGCATGCTTGAATTAATGAAAACTATTTCAATCCTTTGATTCCTCTGTGAACAAATAAAATAAGTGAGGTTGTGTTTCCATAATTCACAGAAGAGTGGGGTTGTGTTTCAATATTTTACCTTCAGGGTCGGTCATCGTGCACGCGACCTATTACAGCAAAACTGTCAAGTACATACAGGGACTCTACTCCGTAGAAACCCTCCTGCTGCGCCCCAACCGGCAACGTCGCACTCGCGGCGGCCGCGTCAGGTGCTCCTGCAGCCGAATCGGTCGAGCATCACCTGGCGCGGGGTCGTTGAGCCGCCGCCGCCTCTGATGCTCGCCGCGAACGTTCATTCAAGATTCTCCTCCGGCGCGCTCATCCTAGGTCAGAGTTGCGTCACGGCATCACACGATATCACGGTGTCGTCCGTTCGTACGTATCAAACGTTGTCGTGAAGATAACGGTGTGTTGCGTGCAACCGTAACGCATCCACTGAATCAACAGCAACAGGTAGATAGAGCGACGGGAACAAATGGAACTGTTAGCATCTAGCAACTAGATGCGCCATTGCTCACTGGAATGTGCTTAGATCAGAGCCTATGACAGACGTGTGTGAAGACTGGTTCATATAGTATTCGGCCAGGCAGCCGAGTGGTGAGCAAGTGTAACCCTTGTCTATGTCATTTGTGCTCGTGTTTATTGAATTATGACCATAATATAACACCGCCGGAAAAATAATTGTATTTTGTCACTTCACCGGGGCATGAGTTCAACCACTTCTGATGTTATATTATGGTCATAATTCAATAAACACGAGCACAAATGACATGGACAAGGGTTACACTTGCTCACCACTCGGCTGCCTGGCCGAATACTATATGAACCAGTCTTCACACACGTCTGTCATAGGTTCTGATCTAAGCACATTCCACTGAGCAGTAGCGCATCTAGTTGCTAGATGCTAAACGAAACGAAAATATTTTGAACAGGCTCATTTGTTGTTTCTATTGAAATTTTGCCAATATGGACAAATCGCACGTTGGGGACAATAGTGTGACAACTCAAAATAGTGTTTTTTGAGTTAGAACCACCGTCGGATAGCAAATTTTAAGTTCTACACTTCTAGAATATCGTGACATCTCTAGGTCCAATAGCTGCTGCGTGATATCGCTGGTCACTTTATTGCACTAGAGGAGATGTAGGTAGGCAGCCGAGCAAGAAGGTGACTTTTTTCGTTGTCACCTAATCTTCGCAGGATACGCCTCGTCTTCTGACTTTGAGGGAATTTTTATGATAAATAATGTGACAAGTTACATTATTTATTAAACACAATTTGAAATTGTTTGAGTTGTCATGTTATTACATTTTGTTCATTAAATGAAATAATGAATTAAATGCAACGAATTTTTGAGTTGTAATGTTTTACAATATGGAATATTTCGATTTGTCACATTATTGCATGCGTTGCACTTAATGAAATGGAGTAGGTGATACGAGCTTCTTCAGAAAGATTGAAATGAAAGCAGCAAGAAGATAACCCTCAAAAATGGAAAGAAGAAATACAAAACTAGAATGAAATTTCCCAATGTATGTAATTTAAATATTCACCTTATACCTTATGTTTGAATTCCAATTTTGAAAAATATATTATAACTCCTTCAAATTATACATTTGGAAAAATGTGTGTTTGAAAGAATTCTCAAGGATAGATTTAAATTCAAATTTCATTCATTATAGGTATTCCCTTCTTACAGGAAATGTACCTATATATACCTTATTCGTGCCTGTAGTCACTTCTCTTCCCAAACTATTGCATTTCAACTTTGTGCGAATTTTCAATGAAACTTATTGCTATTCAACTCAAGATTTGTCTTTTGCAAATATTCGTTTGTTTCCATTCAGAAACTATGGAAAATAGAAAAACTGCCAAAAGAGGAATGTTCAGCAACCGAAGGGCACGATTGGCCGAAATGATAGGAACTCAGAGCACATCTTCAATAATCCAGTCATGAATATATTGGGGTCTACGAATGAAAAAAAAAATACCTATAATATATTATGTTATACGGAAATTTTTTGAGATGTAACATCTCAGAAAGATTCTGCTCTTCATGCGTGACATCTCTAAAAATTGTCGAATATGATAAATCAAAACTGTAACATGTGGAAAATTGGAAAATAATGTTCGAAAATATTATAACTGAAAATTTTCCATGTGAGCTCATGACATATTAATATAAGTACAACTAAATATACTTTTCGCGGTGAATGAGGCTCACCAGAGACAAATTTATTATCATTAAGAAGTGAAAATTGTCAAAGTCGGTTTCCTCAAAACGAAGAATTTTGAATTATCACACTATTGTTCTCAACGTGCGAAATATATGTCGAAGTATTCATCTTCTATTTGTTTTATAAATATTCTTGGAGATGGAATGATATACAGAGTGCTCCATTTGAAAATCGAGAGTTGATGCCCGTTACGCTTCAAAATTTCAACTTTGGAATATGATAATTGCAGATTTTCGATTTTTTTAACGACATCAGAGATTTGGGGGTACAAGTTCTAGCTGGGACACACTATATAAGTGTCCAATGATGAAAAAGAGAATTCAAGTACACGTGTTAGATACACCATTTTTTTTCTACTAGCGTGGAAAAAACCAAAATTCCTCTTTTCCGCGCGCTCCGATATTCCCAAGAAATGCTAGCATTATAATTATCACGAAAGGGATTGTGAGAAATTCACATCAATCATTGTATGTACCCAATTCTAGTTAGAAATATTCCGTGGACTTCAATTTCAAAAGTAATTCCAAGGAATTTCAAGGAATTTCAGGGAATTTCAAGGAATTTCAAGGAATTCCCAGGAATTACAAGGAATTTCAGTTGTGTGTATACCAGAATTATACCGCACTTCAAACAAGGAATTCTAAGGAACTCCAAGGAGTTCCAGGAAATTCTAAGGAAATCCGAGGAATTCCAAGGAAATCCAAGGAATTCCAAGGAAATCCAAGGAATTCCATGGAAATCCAAGGAATTCCATGGAAATCCAAGGAATTCCAAGAAAATCCTAGGAATTACAAGGAAATCCATGAGAATTCAAGAAAATCCAAGGAACTCCAAGAAGATCCAAGGAATTCCAAGGAATTCCAGTTGTTTTCACACCAGAATTATACCACACTACACCCAGAAAATTCCAAGGAAATTCAAAGAATTCCAAGAAAATCGAAAGAAATCCAGGGAATTTCAGTTGTTTGTAGACCAGGAATATACCACCACTTCATCCAAGGAGTTCCAGGAAATTCCTAGGAAATCCAGATATTTCCAAGGAAATCCAGGGAATTCCAAGGAAATCCAAGGGAATCCAAGGAATTCCAAGGAAATCCAAGGAATTCCAAGGAAATTCAAGGAATTCCAAGGAAATTCAAGGAATTCCAAGGAAATCCAGGGAATTCCAAGGAAATCAAAGAAAGTCCAAGGAATTTCAGTTGTTTGTAGACCAGGAATAAACCGCACTTCATACAAGGAGTTCCAGGGAATTCCTAGGAAATCCAGGAAATTTCTAGGATATCCAGGAAATTCCAAGGAAATCCAAGGGAATACAAGGAATTCTAAGGAAATCCAAGGAATTCCAAGGATATCCAAGGAATTCCAAGGAGATTCGAGGAATTCCAAGGAAATCCAGGGAATTTCAAGGAATTCCAGTTGTTTATACACCAGAATTCCACCACGTTAACCCCCTCGAAATATCCAAATGCAACGACCCCCTCAGTAAACGGTCGAAGACAGACAACACCGCTACACGCTGCACCGCTATCAAAGCTGCCTACGACCCGAGAGAGTGAAAGTAAAACAGTCGAAAAGCGCGACTGGGCCAGTAGCGATACAGCACGGCACCCTGCGACCACGACTACGACACACACAGACACGCTCCGCAGCAACAGGTGCGCAACGTTTCGAACCAGCCATCCTCAGACTGTCGGGCGCGTTTCCATCGAATTTCGGCGGTTGTGGCTGGTTTTTCGGGGGGCGCGAGTGACGATGAGGGGTGCCCTCTGGTGGCTGGTGGTGGTGTGTTCGTCGGGCGTCGTTTTGGCGTCGAAAACGGCGACGTCGGCGTCCCGTTTGCCGCGCACGAGTGCGGGACAGCTGGCGGCGGCGGCGGCGGCGCAGAACAAGACGATACGGGAGATCAGGAATAATGGGAGGGACGGGACGGGGCAAGGAAGCGGAGGAGCTGCTCCCAGTAGGGGTGGCAACGGTAGGGCTAGGTGAGTAGTGGGTTCTTTGTTTCTGACCAAAATCGGAAATTGTACTGTGTTTCATTCTACTCGATTTTTTGGAATTTTCTCTCCTCGTTTCTATAAAATAACAATATGCGTATTAGTTCAATATAAAGTGCTCAAAGAAACAAGTGGACCACTGAAATTTTCGACTATTTTGCCATATCTTTTTGAAAAATTAATAGATTTTCAATCGGAATGTGGCTGAAAGACTTCGGTCAATGGCCTTTTGGGGTATATCCCTAATAAAGATGTTCTCTCTCTCTCTCTCTCTCTCTCAATCGGAATGCAGTATTTGGAAGATGCGATCTTCCTGTTCAATATTCTTTATTCAAAACTCGTCGGTAGTTCTGTCACTATGCACCAACTGTTCGAAAAACAGTATCACAAAAATGAGAGAATTCAAACGCTCCCGTATTTCTGGGATTTTTTTTTTATTTTCCTATGAATCATTTATTTCGAACGTTCAAGCCAATATCTCGAAACGGATTTGTAATTTTCCATATTCCTCATACAGGATGTTAAAAATCGATAATTTTCATTTCTGATTTTAAAATTATGCAAGCCACATTCGACATATTTTGCCATTCTATACGATGAAACACATCCTAGAAAATGATTTCATATTGCGTTGAAATCATCGACAACTTCAACAGAAGAAGAATTAATTTTTTTGGAGAAATGTTCAGAATTTAGTGAAATCGTCTGTTCAGTTTGGTGCTGCCATAACCATATGCTATGCTAAACACAAATCCTTCATTTGGATCGATTGTTCTGTGCAGTCTCGCGAATTGATTTCGTGAATTTTCAGGTAAGGCAATCCAAGAAGGCGCAAGGAGACCCTTCTGGATTTTTCTGAACACTTCATACAATAACGATGCTATAATGGTTGTAAGATATTCCTGAGCTGACATGGAGTCAAGAAACCTATTGATCACAAGGTTTTTCATCGCCTAATCGAAAATCAATCGAAAAAGTCGATTCCTTGTAATCAACATTCATTCACGCAATTAATGCCATTGCAACGCCCAATATAATGCCTCCTGTCGAACCGATGATGACAGTTGTCACTAAATAATGCCACCGATTGAATCACTCTCATGTACTTAGTGATTCACCAGATAATCAACAATTTTTGTTTAGCCGGTATCTCTCGGGTTATCTATAGTAATTCAATGGAAATTCAACTTAAACACCCTGTATCTCGCGAACGGAGCCTTTCACGACTCATGTTTATGGAAGCTTCTTCCTTTTTTTGAGACGCCGTGTATCCTTCTGAAGTGTTTCCCACATATTATGAAAAACCTTGAATATTGGCGATTTCTTTAGTTTGGCGAAGGATCATGACTTCTGGCAAAGGCGCCTTCGAAAATGGTGTCTTTCACCAAAATATGAAATTAACTCACGCATCTTTTGGACAATACACTTTCGAGCAAAACTATTGAAAATTTTGCAATTACCCTTGAAAATCACGCGAAAAATATTTGAGGTAGAAAATCATGAGAATCTGGGCTAAGAAAAATGAAGGAAATATTGTGGTAATTACACCAGCTGTGTATAAAATTCCTACTAAATTTGTTACGGATTTCAATATTTCATGGTTGTTTCATTGATATGTTGATGGAGTTCTTTCAGTTTGACGGACGATCTTGATTTTTGGCAAAGAAGACTTCGGAGTTGATAGCGTTCATTGAAAGACTCGTCGAAAGATGAAAAGCATCTTATGCATGAAAATTATTGAAAATTGAATCATGTGAAACAATATTGAAACGTGCAAAATCATGGGAATCTATATACAGAGAAGTGCACAAAAACGGTCAGGATTGTAGTTTTTTTATTATTCTAGATAGCGTTTTGAAAATTGGTGGGTAGCAACTATTCCAAATTGCTTATCAATTGATGAAATAATTTTCCTTCTATCACTTCCAGTTTCACCAGAAACGACTCCAACTTTTGATTTTTAAATGGGACACCCTTTATCGTATTCCATAATCGGTTAGGGATTATCATGACCCTATTTAACGATACCGGGTTTGATAGGGTTATTTCAAACGATTACAAACATATTTGCGTTCGAAGTTACCATTTGCTCAATGGGTGTGACTTCGCAATATCAAAACTTCTTTCTCTGTCTGTCATAATTCTGAATCTTGAACCACCCTGTATTTGTTACTTTGGAATGTCAGTAGATAGCAAATCAAAAGTTGAGATAGGAACATGTGAGCCGTTTCGACCCTAGATAAATAATATGCGGTTTCGACAAAAAAAATCCAAAATTTAAAAAAATCTCGATTTGGAGCACCCTATATCTCTGTGATCAATCTCGTTGGACCCTATTAATGAAATCTGCTTTCTACGGACAATCAAAAAATGCAGTGGAATACAGGGTATTCTATTTGAAATAACAAAGTTGTTGCTACTTTCTAGTAAAAGCGGTGCATCTTTTGTTCTAACTGAAAGATGACAGATAATTATTCGTTTATATTGGAAGCCGAGACAGGTAGGTACTTATTAAAATCTGGTCATAAAATAAGTGAGTATATATAAAAAAAATTTCACTAGCATGGAGAAACCAGCTGTAACTTAATAATGTTGTAGCGAATCGGTATACATTGATATGTCTTCACCAACAAAACGTTAACTTGTTGAGTCAATACAAAATATCAATACAATCATTCGAATGTGGAAACTGAATGATTGATTGCCATTTGTGTGAAGTTTAATTATTATATAATGTCGTATATCAAATAGTGAGAGTTCAATTCGTATATACATTAAACGAGGCCAATATAATTATCTTCGTTTTGACCAATAGTCAAGCAACTATATACTCTATACAGTTTGTTGACTGCACAAACCAATATTACTATGAATCTTGATTTGACTGGTAATACAATAGTCGCTTTAAAAGGATATTAGAAGGTTTGCTATGTATAGGAATATTGAGAACTGCGGATCTTTCCTTCTATTGTTTTTCGATTTCGGAAGATTTTTTTGGGGGTTCTTCGTGTTTTATCATCATCAACCTTATATTCTTGTTTCAGCATTTTTGATATTCTTCTAGGGCTATTTTTTCGGATATTGGTATTTTGGTTCTCGTCAGGTATAGTAAGTTGGAAATTTAATTTGAGATTCTTGATAATAATAAGTAATTTAATTCCCAATCCCAAAAAAAGTCAATAGTAATTTGATTCCTAGAGACTACCTGCGTAATATCCCTTGTCGTCTATTTATTTCTTGTTCTATGAGTATTACTTTTATTTACTTATACTGCTTACAGTCAGCTGTGCTTTCTTAGTGATATTCAATTTTCTTCAAAGTTGTCTCTATTTCGCGCCATGAATCCTGAAATGATCTTGACTGGACAAGGAAAACAGTTTCTAGGAGCAAAAGTTGAACTTTAGCTCCTAGGAACTAAAAAGGATGTACTAGGTCATAAAGAATAAACAACATTGTTATGGTTGGTTTTGAGTTGAGACGCATACCTGATTTGTTTCCGATTTCGGCAGATTTGGCATTTCATTCCCATGCTGATGGAGATATAAATACACCATATCATAGTTAAGTATTTTTGTTTCCACATTCACATACTTGCTTGATCTGTATTTCATTCATTCTCTGAATCTGATTGATTGGATAACTCGTTTTTGAATAATCACGGCCAGCAATACTTTTTTGTCCCACACAATGATATTGTTTACCTTCATTTGATTACCGAATCAAACACAGTGGAATATGGAGAGAAATAGATAATCGCTATAATTATTGTTGATATGCTCACATTTAACATTTAACACTTCTTTTTCCTATACCTGGCTCTGGCGCGGTATTCGCTATCAGGGCAGACACCTGATGGTCCAAATGACTTCTTTGATTCCATAAAATACACAAATATTCATATCGAAACTACAATTCGAACATCCTTGGAAATTGAATAAACCTGATCTGTAAATGCAGGTAGAATATTCTCACCACACGAATTATTTTTTGCATTACATACATATGGCACGGGATCCACGTTTTGGGTGTAGTATTGAATTCGTGCCTGTAGTATCTGATGATGTAAACACAAATTGTAACAAAGTAAAGTCATCGTCCACCAATATTCATAATTGAAGTAGTCTGAGGTTTTCCTTCTATCTACTTATCTATATTATTATAATGAAGGTATAATAATAATCTGCCAAGTAAGTCACATTGGTGGTTACTTCACATATTTATTTTAGTTAATTCTTTCGGATGCAGAAAAAATAGCATGTTTCACTCGGATCAAAAGTGACTTTGTTTGACAAATTGTCACTTTTGATCCTTATAAAACAATCTACTATTAATGCGTCTTTTTATAAATCACATCCAAACATTGTTAAGTGAAAAATCGTCAAAAATATATAGCAAAAATGATATAATCTTATTCTCGAAATGAAATTAGTCGAGGATATTTTATTAAGTGTGCATGATTCTTTTTATTGTGCTGTAACTATTTGATATTGTATTTTCCGAAGTATTTTCATTATTATTCATTTAATAAACAAAATTAAAGTGAATATTGTTTTTTAATTCGAGAGAAATATAGTGAAAATTTATTGTTGCAAATATTTTTTCTCTCCGGGAACCAAATTTCACTTAGACACCAGGTAAACTCAAAATGTCGGGAAACAAATTACACCTAAAAATCAAGCAAACCGAAAATATTGGGAACCATATTACATATTTTTCATGGCCCTTCCCAATCTAGGACCCAAACAAAACATGTTTCCATTTTTTCAAACACGGAAACATAAGGCCACTAACAACAGGACATTGACCTTTGCGGATAACAAAAACTAATTTGCTTCGATGTTTTTAATTAATCACTGTGTGTAATTCAAATCCTGGGAAAATACATAATTCATTATACCATTCGAGAGTACCCAGTTCTTAATTACTTCAATGTAATGATTTGATTGAATTAAAGATAATATGGTACTGTTTTTTTACCATTAGGCCGT